TGCTGAGTTACTAGAGTTCATTTTAACGATGATTAATCTTAGATTGGCACATGGGTATTGTTTGAAAACATCAATTTTAAAACATGTATTCCTTAATTTGGTTATTTTATTTCCTGATAGATGACATATATATATAATAATTGAATTTTTTTTATATATATGAACTTGTGAAAATAATTATATATATAATTATTCTATATATATAATTATAGAATTTTTGTTATATATATACATGTTATTTTAAAATATGTATTAATTGATTTGTGTTAATCATGTGGAGGTGTTGGTTACTGGGTACACAATGGTATATGTAATACATATGTTTACTAAACAATGATTTGACTGGACATAGATGGGTCAGATTGCATGTTAATTTGTTAGTGAATGACGGGACATTTGAAATGGATTGGTTCTGTGTGCTATATAAAATAATTTTCTTTTTATTTAATTATTACTGTTTTAATTGATTTTAAACTAAAGAAAATTAGGAAAAATAGTATTGCTATCCCAATAACTTAGGAAATTTCCAGAATATTAGTTCTAAGTGCACTGAACTTAGTTGTGCTGAAATACAGATTGTAAAATGATTGTTTGATGGTTTTACGAAATTAAGACCTGAAAAAGTATTATTTTCAGCACTAAAACGGAGAATACGGAAAAACTATTAGGAGTTAGATTCTGAAATTTTGCAGGGTCTTATATTTAATGTTAGGCTTTATCCAGAAATTTTGTACTCTCACTAGTTGGGTCTTTAGAGTTCTGTTTTTAAATTAAAAGTGTATTTGTGTGTATTAATTATTAATTTAATTATTAATTAATAATGTATTTCATAATTCACTATAATTAGCAATTAATGGATGAGTTCAGATTAGTCGGAGAGGTAGTCAGGGACTGAACCTATGATGACTTTTGGGTATGGTCAGGGACCTGCCTAATTGGGAGTGCACTACCCTATTATTATGGCCATGGGTCTAATGAGCCATTATTGTGTGGACATGATCAGGGATCATCTGGGGAGTAGACGTACTGTAATACCCCGTAATTTTAAAGAGTGTATTTAAATTAATTTTGTGTTAGGTTAATTCTTTAATGTGTAGATTTATTCACCTTGTAATTATATATGTTAGATTAGTTAATTAATTTTATTTATTTGTGCATGTAATATTGATTTTATGTTCTATATAGTATAATGATTAGTTTTGAAATTTTTATTGGTTATGTTTTAGATTAATTATTATTATTTAATTAAAGTATTTAATTTGTATTGAATAATAATAATAATATAATAATAATATTTATAATAATAATAATTATAATAGTTTATTAATAATAATATAATAATAATATTTATAATAAAAATAATAAAAATATTTATAATAAATAATAATAGTATTAAATCAATGTAATGATGAAGAAATTAAATCTTAGGATAGGATTTCATTCCCATAGTTGAACCTTAGGACATCTTGCTTGACTTGGCTTGCTTGCCTTAAAGCCATATGGTTGGGAATGTGGTTAATTAAATGCAAAAATAGATATTTGTAATATTTATATTATATAAATTGTATATAAATTAGCTAGCCTACCTTAGTAGGAAGGAAAGGGAGTTAGAAATAAATTATAACTTTTAGTGAGCCATTGTAAAAGTGTGGAAAGGAAGAGAGAGAAAGAAAGGAGCTTGGACCGGTGTAGGAAAAATTTACCCGACTACGCGCAACCGGCGGATTTATTTTAAATCCAAAAAGGCAAGTTATTATCTACTTTTCCCATTTGAGTCCATAAATTATTCATTACATTTATTCGGCTATTTTTTTTAGGTTAGAAACCATGCTAGGACAATGAGAAATTAATTATTTAATTTATTAAAATAATGTGATATTAATTATTTAAGGGTTAAATAATTTATTATTGGCCTAGGTAATTAATTGAAACTTAGGAAATTGTTATTTAAGGCTTTAGAAATTTTTCTAGAATTTTTGGGCAATTTTCGAAATTTTTCTGTATTTTCCGGCGACCCTCCGGCGTGTTTTCCGGTCGCCGGCAATGGGGGAGATGACCGGAGTGATCCGGTGTGATGCGGCGCACCATAGGAGGGTGTACGCGCGCATCCTGGGCCTTAGATGAAGCTGATTGATCCGGTGCATCGCGGTCCATGTTACCGCGGTACACCCGGATCATTGACCGCCACGTCTGCAGGAGACTTAAACACGCGCGTGGGAGCGCGTGCGCGCGCATGGCAGATACCAGACGCGCGTGGAGGCGCGTGGGAGAGTGGGGAAGGTTGGGCTGCGCGTGGGGAAGCTTAGGGCGGCGCGTGGGGGCGCGTGAAGGGCCCTTTCAGCTGCTGGAAATTACCAGAATACCCCTAGGGCCTGTTTTGTAAATTCCAGAACCTTAAACTTGGATTTTTTAGGTACTTTGTTGGGATTTACGGGTTTAACGGGCCACGAAATTATTATTTTAATACCCGGTAATTATTCTTATGGCCGATTAATCTTTTCTAATCATTTATTGGCTCGTTTACAATACGGATATTAATGTGATTTATTTAATGACATTGTTAAATATAAATAGTGTTATTATCTTATTAAATGGTATCAAACATTACTGTTAAATTAAATAATGCCATGGTTTTAGTCATATAAATTATCCATGATATCTTATGGGATGTTTATACTGTTAAATGATATATAAACTATGATTATTATGCTGTGTGCATTTCAGGAAATAAATGGACTGTTTAATTATGTCACATTTATATTATATGGATGTGTTGCCATATAGAACCATGTGAGCTGACTAATAAGTTTAGACTCATTTATACCTTATGCATTCGTTGCTATAGACAGATGTGTGGCTGTCGGGGTATGTGGTTTAATATTATTGGCATGTGTTGCCTAATTGGCATGCTCAGTATGTGTAGTAATATTATTGGCATGTGTTGCCTAATTTATATGCGCAGTATATTCATCAGTACTTTGAGAGGTGTTATCACTGTGTAGTTCGTTATAGTCTGTGTTGTCAGTACCATGCACCATGTATAATAGCTGATTTCCCGGGTAGGGAAAGGCGACACTTAACCACCTAGTGTGAGTCTAAGTGATCACCGTCTATTCTGGTTGAGGTCATGTTATACATTGGATAGTTCCCTTAGGATGTATACCGATATAGTACTCGTCCGATTCATAATGATTAATTTATTTGATTCTCTGATTTGGGTCATAATAGAGAGGACTTGCTCGTGGGGTTGACCCACCATTGTTGTTATTTCAGGATACGGTCAGTACCCGTTCCAAGGTTGAGGTTAGCAGTGAGGGACCACCATCCGAACTCATCTACTCTTACGATCCAGTTCAGGGTAGAAGTTTTATGTATTACTTCAGTTTCAGTTTTTATTTACTTTTGACGTTGAACTCTCCGGTTCATATATAGGGATCCTTGACATAGGATTTCCAAATTGTAATGGAGTACTGTATTAAATAAAGGATGGATGGATGTTGTATTATCTAGTGTTCCTTTCCTGTCTAAATTCTTTTATTATCATCATTTTGTATTCCATGCTTATATATTGCCAATTGTTTTTGATATCCCTCGTTTTTCGTGTATAAGCCTGATCAACTTATGCGTGGAAAATGTTCGGGGTGTCACACGTACAATCCAGCCACACGTGTATTTTCGGTAGTCAGGGACTATACAATTCACACCACTTTATTGGATGTGAGCTAGGGGCTCATGTGAGATATGCGGATTTATTAAAAATAAATAATGGTTATTTATTGAGTTTATAATTAACTGGGTTATGCATAATTAATTAATGCATTTATTGAGTTGCTTATATATATGGGAATACAAAGTAAGGTTAGCTTGCTGAAGAATGATTGTGTTTAGCATTTCTTGTTGAGCTTGTGAGCTCACCCCATTATCACATTTCAGGTGCTCGTAGAGTAGGAACGTGATGGAGACGCATGACAAAGTCGGATTTTAGCTCGGTTTTCCTTTATTATGATTATTGTAATAAAGTTAATGTTTTATGAAACTTTATCGAGTTGTTTCAGTGGTAATAGATGTTTTGTTGTGTTAGAGGGACTTTCACCTCTATTTATGGATTTGATTTATGTTTGTCAGACACTCATGTTAATAAATTGGATGATGGGATTCATTATAGTTATATTTTATGATGGATGTATGTGGAGAATTGGTGGAAGTTATACATCAGATTTTACATACAAGACAAAGAGTCTTTGTGTTAAAATTTGGGGTGTGACAATTCATTGTGATGACTCTGTGGGCGGGTGTGCCGTAGGTAGGTGTGAAAGATACTGTCAGGCTATCACAGTGGCGAGCTACGGGTGCGGTGCATAATCCCACATCGCCTGGATAGAGGAAAGGTGAAGTGCTTATATGTAAGTGTGTCACCCCCAATTTGTATGAGGTCTTTTGGGGTGAAGCCCAAGAGCAAAACCGTGCGGGCTCAGGCTCAAAGCGGACAATATCATACTATGTGGTGGAGTGAGTCGTTACAATGGTATCGGAGCCTAACCCAGCCGGAAGTGTGCCGACGGGGACGTCGAGCCTCTAAGGGGGGTGGATTGTGATGACCCTGTGGGCGGGTGTGTCGTGGGCGGGTGCGAGAGATACTGTCAGGCTACCACACTGGCGAGCTACGGGGGCGGTGCACAGTCTCACATCGCCTGGGTAGAGGAAATGTGATGTAAGTGTGTCACCTCCAATTGGTATGAGGCCTTTTGGGGTGAAACCCAAGAGCAAAACCGTGCGGGCTCAGGCCCAAAGCGGACAATATCATACCATGTGGTGGAGTGGGTCGTTACAGTAACCCTCAGATATTGTAGAACTTTTCACAAAATTTAAACATTTTTTTCTTTTTTTCCACTAAGCAAAGATTTTTGATTGTTTGTTAAATGTTAGATTAGTAGATGTAGAGAGTCGAAGTCTCACATTCTAAGATTCATGGAAGGCACAAATCCACTGAGTTATCGAGGTAACTACACTAAGTAAAGATAACTCGTTGAAGATTACATACAGAATGATTTTACATATATCCTACTATGTTTTCTGAATTATGTAATGCATGTGTATTACAGTACAACCTAAATTTAGTGGTGATTTGTTATGCCATGCTGCTGCAAGGCATGGTTTTGTTGTTCCTTGGGGTTCTCCTCTGCGTGACCGTTGACGCTGCTGACCTCCTGAACCTCCAGTATTTCGACTCTGCGCTTCATCTTTTTCCTTATCTTTATTGCCACATCTGACGGCTGAAATCTCCCACACACGCTCACATTGCAAAGCTGCTTCTCTATCAAGTGCTGCTCTATTTCTACAATCATAAAAAAAGTGTCGTTTAAGTGTCTGTTTTTTTCAGTTTTTTTAGAATAATTTAATAATTTCAAAAACATAATATAGTTTCAAAATTCGTTTTGATTGAGAGTTTTTGAAATAAAACGAAGTCAATTAAAAAATTTTAATTAGAGAATTAAACTAAGGGTGAAGGGCAAAAAATCACCTCCTATATAAAAAAATGTGCAAGAAATAACTGTGCTATTTAGTATGTGAATATAAATCCCTATAATATGAAAATTTGTAACAAATTGGCTCATGATTTGTCAATTTAGACCAATTTTTTAATAAAAAAATCGTAAAATACCCTTAATAAATTTTGTACATAAATGTGTTTTTATTATTAATTTTTCTTTAAGGGCATTTTAGGTATTCCAGTATTCAAATTGAGAACATATCTTTATTTGCTCAATTTAAAAAATGTAGGGATTTTTTTGAATACCAGGAAAGTTTTTGCACATTCTATATATAACATTATTATTATTATTATTTATTTAAAAAATAATAATAATAAATGACAAAATCGTATTATGTATGTAAATCTACATTTTTAACCACTCAACTCTTGAGAAACCTTACCTTTCATATTAAGGAGGACTCTTCTCATCTTTCTACAGCAAGCATTGCAGTCAAGGTTCACCCTCATCACCATGCAGAGATACTGCAATTAAACATGAACAAAGAAAGGAACAGAAACAAATACACATAAGAGAATGATAACTAGAAGGATCAATTAGACTTCAATTTTTTATTTTTGTGAAAATTGTGCTTTTGTATTTCTACAAGTTCAACAACAATGCAATAAAAAGTTAATGAAGATGCCGTTTGAGCTTGCCTGTCCTGACATTAAGTTGAAAATAGGCCAAGACCGGGATCGATGACCGGTATGCTTGTGAAATGAGACATCAGAAAGTGATGGAAAAGGTAATGATAAAGTTTAAGGTATAAAGGGTGATGGTGTTCTGTGGATAATTCCATCTTTGGATTGTCATATGGAAATTCTTCTTCCCTTTCAATTTGGAATCTGATTATGCCAAATCCATGATATAGGGAAAGATTAGTGTTTTGCTTATTTATTGTGCTTGTCTACTTTTGCCTAGCATATTGAGGAGGGGAAGCATGCATATTTCCTTCTGCTTAGGTTTGTGTTACTTTGTGACATTATGAAGCATCTTTTTTCTTGTACACAAAGGTATCTGCTACATCTCTTCCCTGTTTATGAAGGTTCAAGTTTCACATATAATTATTATTTCCCTCTCTCTCTCTCTCTCTCTCTCTCACACACACACACACACACAAACATTTAGGTCTCATCCCCAAAACCATCAAGGCAAGAAAATAAAGGTCACTAATTATCAAACTACTTGCTGACAAGACATAGAATAAGAAATGAGTACTTAGAATCCAAGACTAATATTCCTCCTCATTAGTTTTCAACGGTCAAATAGACATGTTCCAAGAATATCACCTCTGCCAATAAAATACCAATGCCCCCAACTTAATCATTACTCCGATCCCCAAGGCCATCATAATAGGATCGAAATCCTATGCTGATGTATATAGAACGTAGTGCCACAGGTTTTAAGATTTGGCGCGTAGCGGCACGGCCCGTGCGACACCAAAACGTTGCTTCTACTCATGCAAGCACCCAGGTTAGCCACTATCGCCTGCCATCTCGAAGAAACATGCTGATTGGTTTTGGCTTGCCTTGGCCTCATCAGGGAAACGATTCTAGTTCCCGACCAGTTTGTGCAGGGATGACCAACTCCCTTCTTCATAATCAAATCCACGACTAGCGACAAACTCCTCGAACTAAACCGAGTCTACCTGCCTAAACTCTGAAGAGATACCATTTTGTGGTCCTGCATGCCCATTCCTTGAAACCAATTCTAGTCAAACTCTGCCCTTCACCAACCAACATGCGTATCTTCCTTACTCCAATTGTCGTCAAGAATCCGTCCGTGACAGTAGGCTTGCTTTGAGCTCTCTAATTTCTTCAAAGTAACAGTGCCGGAGGTATGACCCGGCCAGTTAAGGCCATGAGCGCATTGCCGACAGAAGGGACGAGACGACTGATGCACACAGGAAGGCAAACCAGTAAGCCCAACAAGGCCCAACTACGAACTTTTTAATTGCAACAACTTAAACATACACCATTGGAGCTGGAATTACCACGGCCGCTGGCACCAGACTTGCCATCCAATGAATCCTCGTTAAGGGATTTAGAAAACAATAAAATGTTTATGCCATATTTCCCAGCAAACATGTATAATGTTTTTGTTTTTCCATAGTCCCATATTTGATGATTCCCAATCTTTTTCTTCAATCCTTATCGAGAACATCATCAAAATAAGCAAGAACACTATTCATATGAATAATACCATATATGGGTATTGGATAAGACAATCAAACTTGGAAGCAGAAAAAAATTGTCACTTTATATATCAATGTCGAACGAGATACACATGTAACACATATGATCATTTTGGTCTCATAATAAATGTATTTTTCATATTCTAATGGTCCTTTTGGATGTATAGAAAGTGCAGGAAGAGAGAAACAGTCGCTTAATCGTGGCGATTTTTTTCAAAGGGTTCCTGTATATTGCAGCAACTTGGTGTGGGGGTACTTCAACAACATGAGGATATGTACAAGTGAGTATCACTTTCTTCTCCAAAACACTTATTACCACAGACTCTGTCTCTCCTGAAAAATGGAAATATGAAGAATAATATATCATCACTAAACATTGAAATTAAAATGCAAAACTGAATTCAGAAAATGCAGTGAATCTATTTCTGATTTTCAAGGCCACATGAACACTAGTCAGAAATTTCAAGAATCATAATCATTTAAGATAATGAATGAAATAATTAAGAGCACTGCTGCAATTAAACATTGAAACAACCATAACAATCTAAGACGGTGAATGAAATGATCAGGAGCACTACTGCAATGAACTTTTCAATAATTTTTGTGGCCCACTATGGTACTAATTCACACCAAATGGATGACTTCAACTCATAATGCAAAAAGTAAATTATGACAATCTAAAGTAGAACTTGAAGTTAAGTTGTTTCACCAAGTGTTTTGCAGTCAATTGTTTGTGAAACTTTCTTTTTTTCGGAAGTTAATTGTTAGTGAAACTTCCATCACTGAAAATCCTATCTTCATTCGAGGTGTATGCCTCTGTGTGTGTGTGTGTGTGTGTGTGTGTGTTGTATACATATGTAAGCAACTTCAATCAACAATATCCATATGATTACTGGTAAATTTTTTGTTTTCATCTCAAGTTCAATTAGTTTCACTATTGAAGCAATAAATTAACCCCTGAAACAACAGACATAGTCCCCATTCTGTGTCAGGACAATGGACCACTTTTCTGCTTGAAAGATAATAATAATAATAATAATTATTATTCTCATAAAGAAAACCCTTTATGAAAAAGCTGCTTCCATGTGCCCCAAAAAAAATAATTGTATGGAATCCAATGTGAAAATCCGGTATCAACAGGAAATATCTTAAAGGGAATCTAAAGTGAAGAAAAAACCAAAACGAGACAGCGGGCTCAAATGGACCCTACTCCATTGGAATGGCTATTAAGTTGGTATAACGGTCACTCCAGACTTGTTTCTGATCAGATGATTGGGGCAATAACTAAATTTCATTCTATTCCAATTTCAAGATATTAATTCGATTCTCCCAAACGCAACATAAAAGAAAAAATTACCGTTCATTTTAGAAATCAAGTGAGCTACCCTCTTCTGACACTCTGCACATCGAAAATCCGCGGATATAACAACTTCTTGGACCTGTTACATAGCAAAGAAACACAAACAAGAAAATCCCATTAACATCAATGTGTGTGTGTGTGTGTGTGTGTGTGTAGAGAGAGAAAGATGGAGAGAACTAACAAGAGGCATGGTCAATGATTCAAAGTAGGCAAGGCTGGTTTGAGAAGATAAAGTCCCATTTGACTTCTGTAATCCAGTTGCAGTGCGCTTCTTCTTCGATCGATCGGCAACAGCCATCACTTTGTTCTGTGAATATTACTCAGAAGCTGCAGGGCCCTTCATATAGGGCTGTGAGGTTTCTTCAAGTACTATATCATCTAACCTTGAGAGAGAGAGAGAGTGAGAGAGGGAGAGGTGTGTGTGTGTGACTGCGTGTGTGTGTGGGGAAAAAGATCTATGAACAGCTACTGCTATGGTGATGGAGCAATCCCATCTTTTTTGTGAGATGCTTCATTTGTTGGAGAAGAGGGGGGGATAGAGATTGACATGGTAAAGTGTAAAAAGGTACTTAGTCTAATGTTTGGGGTTGACAAAGATGCTTCATTCGCTCAGGCTGGCCCACCACTCTCCCTTGGTGGTGTGTGAATCTTTCTTCTGGCAGAATAATTTTACGGTGGTAGGTTAGAGGAATTTAACCCTCTCTTGTCCATTTTTTTCAGTTCCCATTAACCAATCATGTCACATTGAGTTTGGATATGATTTAGAAAACCCAACTTACACAAGTTTTGGCCGACACTGGTTATGCTTTGACTTTTCTATTACTCTTAGATGCTTTGACTTTTCTATTACCCATAAATGACAGACTATATTATCGGGATATTGTGCAAAGCAGGTAAAATTATCATCTGGCCACCAATTGCAAAAGGAAATTTTCATTCGCGGACCTGACTATAAAAAAAATTGTTTGCATTAAAGAGGAATCCAATCTTAGACTAATGCTTCATGAGTTCACGACGTACCAAGCCTAACTTACCACTATTGCCAACCCTTGAAACTGATATGGGTGTTACTGTGTTGGTATGGGATATTATTACATCCAAATCCAAATGGTAAACCTCAATGGAGGAGCAAGAAGATGGGGACATCTTTTCCAACATTATCCCATTCAAGTTTAAGTTTTAACTGACCATAACTGCCGGATAACAGTAATGTCATACATCACACAATCATATTAGTTAAATGTGTAATACAATTTCTACCTACCCTTATTTATCACTTGGATACCTTTCAAGGAAGTTCTTTTTATTTAATTTTGACATTTGATTAACACATTTTACTTTTGGTAATTAAAATATATTAAAAAGAAAAAACTAATTATAAATAAAATACACAAAGGGATGAAGTGTAACCCCGGGAGCCTACAAAAAAACTGGCCAAGAAAGTCCAAGCACTAGACCTAAGGGGGCAAAAACAACCTGAAGCCCATGGGCCCCGCCCTATAGGAGCATGGGTAGGGCAGGACATAGGGTTCAGCCCTTGGCCCGGCCCGGCCCGGCCCGGCCCTATAGGAAGATGGTGTATAAAGCAAAGAAACCCTCAAAAAGGGAAGAAAGCTCATAGGCAAAACCTTTCTAATCGCAACTAGTCCTCTCATGTGAAACAATGTCATTTACCGTCGAGTTAGTGTTGTATTTTACAAAAATGTTGTGATGTTCAGCCTCACATCACAATATTTTTGAACGATGAATGAACCATTCCAACAATTGATCAAAGCTTTTGACACGTCCCCAATTCCAATTAAACACTGCAGCAAGCTATTTTCATATGTCATAGGCAGAGTTGCAACTGAAAAATAAATGATCATTAAACTCGAGTTTCTAGGTTTTTCTTGTGTATTTTTTAAGGTTTCTTTTCATGACAGTACAAGAACATCATGGAAAATGCATGTCCCATGCACAAGGATCTTCTTAGAACTTGATTTTCATGTCTATAGCTGGTATGAACAAGAAAAAAGATACATACATACATACATACATGCATATATGTATGTATGTATATGTTAATAGGTAACTTTCAATTATTACTGGAACTTCTGACTAAGATAGATGTCTTTGTTCTATCAAGTCCATCAATTCTTGCACGCATGAGACCTCTTCTTGTCAGTTTTGGTGAAATTTTGCGGATATACAGAGGATTGCTTAGAAATGTTGGCACTACTTTCACTCCATTCAGTGAATTTGGAGTGTTTCATGCCTATCGTTTTCAGGCAAATTGTTACATTGGTCAAATTTTCACCTAATGTTTGCCCATGTAATGGTACTTGATTGCCCACCAGGTCTCAATCAAAAGACTCAAAACACAAAAATGCACAACCATATACAAGACCAAAGTCACAACCTGTACCCGGCTAAGGGCATCCCGAGTGCAGGCTTCAATAGCAAATATGAATGTAAAGTGGAGAGAGAAGTAGCTGGTGTGCATAACGAGTCGAGTGCCATATCAGCGGGCCCCACATGCCATTTTCTATCCCAATCTCTACATACAGCCAATGAAGTAGAGAATGCTAAAAGCTGCCGCATTTAATTTCGGTAGATCCCTTACCCTTTATCTCTCCTTTTGAAATAAATTAATAAAATAATAAAGTAAATAGCCGAGATAGTGGGCTGCACACCATGGGACATAGTTGGTGAAAAAACAGTGGATCATTACGTCAATATACTTTAATGTAAAGTGTGCTGACGTGGCTATCCACTATTTTAAAAATGGATAGATAATATTGTAAATGCACACCAAATGTCCTAAGAGCTCGGCAAGACTATCCAATGTACACCAAACATGCCCAAAAATGCAGTATAAATAGGCGTCAGACAAAAATTTGCAGTTGACAGCCATCATTGCATGCAGTTGACACTCCCAACCGCCCTAGGGTTGCTGGAGTGTCGCCTGTAGTCATCACAAGTCATCAGAAAATCAATCTCAATAACTCCATTGTCATGTAAACTATTTTTACTCCATTATTACGTTAATGCCATTTACATACTGCTGCCAGCAGCATAGGAAAGAAAAAGGAACAAGAAGAAGTACAAAAAAAAATGTGTACATCACCTAAGATTTCATTATAAACAATTAATATTGGTTACAAATGCCACTAAGTTGAAGATTCTGTGCAACTACAAGAGCAAGATCTTGAATTCGTTGAAACTGGAACCAATATGCTTTAGGTTAAAATTAAAACGAGATAAAATGCCTTCAAAAAATCGAAGATCATTCATGGGGAAGATTAAAATGGGCAATGGCTGATATAAGTCACCAATCCAAGCTGATATTCCTTGAGAGGTAAAGCTTGTCTATGTATTCTATGACTGGAAGTGAGGCACTGATATACCTTCTCATTTCCTTCTCTGCTACCTCATCTGCGACAAGATTGAAGTATGTAAATTGAAATCATATCAATAGAGTTTAAATTTTTATAGATATAACTAAATTGACAATACATTGGTTAGATTCTTAACTAATATGTCAAGGACATTACAAGTTATATCATATGCTATTATAAACATCTGTTTTGCCTTTTCAATCTTCTCTCAATCAAACAAGAAAAAATTATGAGAAAAGATAGTGGCACATTCAAATGTTACATGTGATTTTTGCTTGCTTGATGGGACAACCATGTTGAGAGCTTCATACACATTACTGAATTTGTGGTTTAACATAGTATGCGAGCCTTGGTTCTGAGAGCTCTCGGGTTCAAGTCTCTACATCTGCACTTGTTTTTGTTACCCTGTTTGCACTCGATAAACTTTTGAGATGATCGGTATTTTAAGTATTCATCCATTATAATTTTCTTCAGTAAGTTTCCATCCACCTATAAATTTCTTCTGCTTACACATTACTTTATTACTTACAGCAGTATTATTTTTATTTTTGATTATCCACATTATTGAGAGAAGGTTTTAATCTCAGAATCTAACTCAATTCTTGCTGGAAAGATGAAATACGTTCCCATTATACCAAGAAAGTGAAACACACACACACACAAAAAAAGAAAAAAAAGAAAAAGAAAACACTCACCGGTTGCGTTTAACTTCATCAGAAGTTGCTCCCTTGATGGAAGAGCACACATTCCAGCAGAAACTGCTGTCCTGACTGTCCAAGAGTGGTATGGTGCACAAACGTGCGCGTAAGCTGTTGAAGCTGCTTCTTTTAAAGAGCAATAGCTGAAAGTGATAAGAGTGAACTATGAAATTAATTTCATTGCTGTAGAACAATAAAAGCAAATATTAAAAACTGATCAGATGAACAACAATTGTGCTAGGCACTATCAAAGAACTATGACATTAGAGTTGATAGACGCCCTAAAAAATAAATTGCTTGTAATATCTCTGCATATTTTTCTTTCCTTTCCTTTCATGACTGATGGGAATAGCAGACAAATGCCACAAAAGGAATGACACACTGAACAAAATATTACTCTTTGGAAGAATAAGATAATATATATATATATATATATATATATATATATATAGTGCTTTGAATTTGACATATTGTTAGAACAACATTCTTAAGCAAGCAGTACAACAACCATCCTTCTTGAAGCTGAAAATCAATAAAACTTATATAGCATCTTCTGCCTCACATGTATTCATTCATTACTTGAGACTATTTGAGGCATATAATATGGGATTTTTGTGTTACATTTGAAGACATTTTTACAGGTGCATATTTAATCTATGTGTTTTTTATGTTCCGCGAAAGGTATGTTTTATTAAAATATAAAACTGTACAAAGAGCCATATTGGCAAGAAACAAAGAACCTGCAAGCAGGTTAATCAAGCAAAATACACATGTAGTCCCTAAAACTATGCAAATGTCCAATGTGTGTGTGTTTTTTCTTTTTAATCCTGGGAAACTAGGGGGAAGGGGGACTCAAATACGGACACATCCGCTCTGGGAGCTAGGCGTTGTCCAATGTGCATGTGTGTTTTTTCTTTTTAATCCTGGAAAACTAGGGGGAGGGGGGACTCAAACACAGACACATCTGCTCTGGGAGCTAGGCGCTCTACCAACTAGGCCAGGTAATGCCCCAAATGTCCAATGTTGAAAGCTGCATATTTAATCTATGTTAATAAGATGTCCCACACCACATTTTTGTCCAGGAAATAGAAAAGGCACAACTTAGTTTTTAATAGTATATGGGGCTAAATTGGATTTAGAAGTAGTATGAACTAATTGGTCATATTAAGTTACAAGAGACCATGATTATGGGTAATTGTTTCACCTAAAATAGCAGTTCCCATCTAGAACAAATCATCATCATCATAATCACTGTCTTTAATCTATTTCCAAGTGCCAAAGTGCTGCAAATTGTGACTGGGAATGTGTAAACAGAACAAATTTTGCAGAAAAAAGGTGCATTGCAAGAAGTTCATGGCATATCCTGTTCGATCAATATCAAATCCTGATATTCAGTTGCACCGGTGGCTATAAAGGTTTCCATTAGATGCAAAGAAAGGAAGGAGCAGGACGTACTCTGTTGACAAGAAGTTCTGAAATAAAGCTCTAATGAGGTCCAGACCCTGCCTGACCCTGCGCAAATTTCGTGAAAGGCTTCCTGGCGTTCTCACACTCTTATTTTGTGTATCGTAATCCAGTATGTTATTTAAAGTGTCATATCTCTTTGATGCTTCCACAAGGTTATGCACCTGAAAGTATCAAACAACAGCATTTGATCCAGTGACATCTATTAGGCCAGAAGCGAAAAGGAAAAAGAAAAAACAAATTATGGGTTAAATGTTAAAATTGAAGTATATACTAACAAATACTGTTATTTGGAATGTGCAGACCTAACCATAAAAATTCTTAACAGTCCCAAAATGTGTAAAGTAAGCAAATCTTAAACTTTTGGTTTCACAATCACACAAATGAAGATGACTCACTTGTTACCCTTCAATAATCAGGTCTGAAAGTTCCACATCAAATATTATGCACTAAATTTTTTTTTTCAGAACAAATAAAAAGTAAAATATCACCAAATGGGCAATAGCCCAGCTGGTATAAAGGGTGGTCAGGCGATCGAACCTTCGTGGAGGTATGATTTGGTTAATTTTGGAAAAGTTCAATTTGCATTAGCATGGAATTCTCTCTGAGAATCCAAATTTTCAACACGTTTCAAATTGTGCAGGAATGATAGACTTGGGAAAACAGTTAACGTAGAGGGGTCAAATGGTATTTTGTTTTATTAATATGGTATTTACGAAAAAGTTAAAGTTTTCAACTATTGAATGTAGTGATGGAATCCACCTGATAAATGATTCAACGACTGAAAAAATCATGTATTATAAACTTGATTATTGTATTAGGAAACTGTGATTTATATCGACTAAATTGCATTCTATAAATAACTTTCTAAAAATAACTTTCCGAAATATTTGACTTGATCAATAAGTGAATAAATAAATAAAATGAACCATTTTTTTTTTTTTTGTTTGAGCTTTTCTAGAAGAGTTCTTAATTCAAACAAGCCAAGTATGTGTCTATCAAAATAATTACATAGACTCTAGGGTGCAAACATTAATAACTTGTAAATGTATCTGCACAAATATCTTACATAAATACACAAGTCAACACCTTTCTCTCTCCCGAAACTTCTCTCTATAGATGCAAAAGTCAACACCTTTGTCTCTAGAAATCTCTCTCCCTCTCTCCAGAAGCTTCATGCACCGACTCATTTATGGGATTATAAATAGAAAACTTTGGGTCTATAGAAATGTGAGTGTCTAGTGAGTCCGCTTGGCACTCACAGACGTACATATACACATAGTTTTCAGAATCATATGCGAGTGTCTAGTGGAGTAAGGTGTTTCTTGCCACTCATACCCACCATTATTTCAGAATAAAGTTTTTGTTTTTGGGTGGAACATCAATCATTTATAAATTTATCATCTTATTTTCTCTCACATAAAAAATTTTAATTTTGAGTGAACATCACGATCTTTTCAAATTTACAATCCTGGTTTTTTGGGTCATATTATTAAAATTTTCATTTTCGTTGACTTGCACATTTACAAATTTAACATCCTAATTTCTCTCTCATACACATTAGTTACTCTTACTCGGAAAAGTACATTTACAAATTAAAAATAATCAACAAAAAATAAAAATCAGGTTCGGGTTTTAAAACAATGAACAAATAAATACCAATGAAAAAAAAAAAATTACATATTTATAATTAGGTTCGGAATGGGACGAGTTAAACACTAAATTCACTCTGTCACGAACCCGAGACTGGTTTTAATTTTTATTACCATATTCGTCCCTACTTCATTTACGGGCCTATAAATAGGGTGGGGCAAAAACCTACACGTCAAGCCTTTGCTCAGTGGGGTTCGGATGAGCATCACGGATAGTCGGTTCCGTTATTAACAAAATTCAATTCATATTAGAATCATTTGATCAGGTTGGGATCAAATTATAATCCATTGTCTCAGCTCTTCCTCTCTTAAAAGATTGCGAATTGAACGACTCCAGCTACAACTAAAATCCTATTGCCACTATTGAGAATTGCCATTAATAGAAGCCCTAGTACTGTACTGGTGCACCAATGGAAGCTTATATACAGTGATTTTTGTGATTTTGTAGATGGACTGAGTGTTGGGTTCTCTAACTGGGCTTTTGTCTGTTTAGTTGTGGGCGTATTTGGGCTTTTAGCCCACAGTAATTGTTCCGGCCGCTTATTGGGGCTCTTCTGGCCTATGTACATATATATATATATATATATATATATATATATATATATTTTTTTTTTTTCTTTCTCAATACAATCTTATATATTTTTTAAAAAATGTATATATATATATATTGACATTCTCATAAGTCTTATCACAGTCTAGGAAATAATACATAAAAAAAACAACAATTATGCAAAAGAAAAATTCAAATGAAAATTTCACAATTCACCAAAAGCCTAATTCATACTCAAGTGATTGGGTTGGGTGAATTTCTTGTTAAGAAAAAGTAAAATAAAATAAATCTATGATTCTAAAATAAAAAAATAACAATATTTGAAATATCTCAATATTTTTGCTTTTTTGGGTAAGCAAAATATCTCAATATTTGTCATATACGTAAAAAGATGAAGGTTACGTAACCGACCTTGTTGACGTATTCAGCCTCTGCGAATTTGAATGCAATCCCGAGACAACCGAAAAGGACAGAGACAAGAGAGCACGCATCACAGAAGGACTTCAAACGCAGATCGTCGGAATCACCACCGGACATGACCAGCCCGGAGAGCTCCTCGAACGCCTCTGCGATGGAGGAGAGCGGCGTCCCTGTGGCGACGGCGTTGGCAAAGGCGGCGTCTTCTCCTTTAACGGTGGTTGTTGCACTATTGTTGGCCCTTCACAATATCAAATTAACAACGTGCATGCATTTTTTCAATTCGTGAATTATTATCAGAATGAAAAGAATAAAAAAATAAAAAAATTAAGATAACAATATGATACCATTTATCTCTGTATTCTCTTTCTCTTCTGTTGAAAAAGAAATGGAAGGCCATGGTTTTGTGAATCCGATGAAGGTTGGCCTGAAGAAGGATTTCTAGAGAGAGAGAAAGAGAGAGAAAAGGGTTTTCTATAGAGGGAAACGTGGAAGATTAGTATAGAAAGAAGGGGTTCGGGGAAAAGAGGTTTTCTCCTGGTCCGTGAAGGTTTGCTATTCTACTTTCGCGCCAACCCGTCAACACACTGTCGTGGAATTTTGGATAGCGAGAATTAAATTAATTTTATGTTTTATTATTTTTATTTTATTTTTTTCAATTCCTATTTTGAAACAACTTTAGCAATTACCAAAGTAGAAACTTCTCTTGTACAAAGTCTATATTTGTACTCCGTAATTATTTACTTTATTAAAACCAATTATAGCATGAAAAAACAAACTTCTTTTCTTTCATGGTAGGGTGATAATAACTCTACATGTAAAAAATACAACACACCGTGCTATTTAGTAAAGATAATTTTGAAATCGGTGTTTATTGTTTACTCTTTTCGTCCCAATTAAAGTGTGTTTGTTGGAAATAGTAATTTTTAAAAGACATGTGATACATGCATTGTTTCCTTGAAAAGTTACTAACTCGTCCTTTAAAATTTTAAACTTAAATTTTGAATATTTAAGTTTAAAATTTTAAACTCAAATGAAAAATATAGAAATATGTGAAATATATTATTTGAAAAAGAAAAATAAACACAAGCATGACACTTATTTTGGAATAGAGGGAGTATTAAGATGGAGTTGATATTGACACTCCAATATTTTCTTCAGTTATGTCAATTATATTTTTAATTAATTAAATAGATAGAAATATTCATTGTTTTTTTTCCTCTTTTTTCTTCTTCCTCACCCTATTAGAAAGCCAAACATATCTAATCTAAACCATTAATATGTTGTAAGTCCTTTATTTTTTCCTCTTTGAGCAACTAAGTTCATCTTTGGTTCTTTTCTTTTTTCAATTCTGGTCGAAATTGTTTCAAATAGTCTTTCTTGGCGTTCTTAGTAGCGTATATATGTCGACATAAACTAGTAACAACAAACTCTAAGTGCATAAATATTAGTTTTGCATCATATTGATGGTGTACAGTGTGAACACTACGTCACTTTGGGTTACAGCAAAATTTTGTCAGTGTTCACTCATTTTTGGGAACAAAATGGATAGGTAATTAGTTATGCAATTTGAGATAATGGAGAAAGCAAAACAAAAAGATTTCGGTTCATTAGATCAGTTTCTAACCATATACGTATATTTACTAGGAAACATGATTGAAAGAGGTGAATGAGTAACCACGGGTAGAGTTAGGAATTTAGTTCAGGAGAGGTATGTTAGTATTGATAAAATAATTTTTTTTTTCAAGTAGGTCGAAAATATAATAGTATAATAAATGTGTATTAGAGTAAGTGAATAAAAAATAAATAAGAAGAGAAAAAAGAAAAAGAAGGTTATTGCACATAAATTATGCATTAGTGCAAGAAAAAAAAAATTTTAAGAAGAAAAAAGAATTTTTTACGACGAAAATGAAATAAAAGGAAAAAAATGAAAGAGAATGCAAAAGTTTTGAAGATGATAAAAAGAAATTTGAAGAATAAGAAGGAAAATGAATAAAGAATTATAGACATTTTTAAAAATAGATATTTTCATGGGGATAATTTATAAATTTTATGAGGGTGTTTTATAAATATTTAGAAATTATACGCATAAAATAAACTAAAATTTAGTGGATTCAGGGGTAGAGGAGTTATTTTATTAATTTTAGACGGGACATTATGTCAATTTTTAAAAATTTATGTATATATATATATATTCTAGTGAGACAGCATGAACAGGGGCATCTGCCCCCTGGGCACATACGGCCTCCTCCCTGTGAGTAATTATCTAAAACACCAAACAATTAACATTAGACTCCTCAGAGGAAAAATTAAATAAATTGAAGTTATCAGCATGCTACCCATGAATTAAACAGATGTCAGAAGGTATTGTTGTGAAAAATAACACCCATGCAAAATTTCTTAATTTTGAGATTTCATCAAGGTTGGGATGACGTTGACACGCAAAAATGGTAGCCCAGGTGGTAGCCAGACCAAGTCATAATTCGATACCAAGTTTACATGTGGCATTTAACCAAAAAAAAAACAAAAAGTTTACATGTGGCAATGCGAGAAGACGAACGAAATTCAAACATTTGTGCAGTTTGGTCGGCTTCATTTGGGAAGTTAATGAGGCAACACTCGGACTAATTGAAACACACAGTAGAATTAAAAAGGGTACAATTGACCATTTTGATGCCTGAGGGCTAGCCCACAGGAACGTCCCAAATTTTTTTTAGCTTTCTTTGTATAAGTTATATTGTTTTTATTTATTATTAAACACTAATCAATACACATATTTAATACTAGATTTCAAATATTTTTATCCTAAAATAATTTATCTCTTTTTGTTTTTTCTCTCCCCTCTTTATTCACACTTTTTATTAGAAAAAATTACATTTAAGTAGAATTAATAGTCCTAAATAATAAAGTGATCTATTTTAAAGTTTATTTTTTATTTTAATTAAATTAAGTAAAATAATTACACACGCATCAAGAATTATCGTTCAGATAAAAAATTCTCTACAAATTCTTGTTCCAAAAATACTTTTCTTAAATCAAATAATTCATTCAGTCAAAAAAATTGCTCAGTCAAACCCATCTTGATCCATAATAATCAAACGACAATCACAACGTTTTCATAAATAAATAAATACCTAAACAAGGGAAAATATATTCGTGTATGGCTACCATTAAAAATCATAACCCACAGAGTCGATGTGTCCAATAAATGTGGTCAAATACTCATTACGTTGATGCCGTGTTTACTTGTATACTGGGGGCATTGGGTGTTTAATCTCATATTACATTACACAATTTACTAAATGTTAGAATTTTTAACTAATAATCAATCTGAGGTGCAAAGCATGTTAAAGGTTTTTAATTGAAGAATCAACTGGTGTAAAGCGTCAATCACCTTTGGGATACTTTTAGATTTTGTTGGTTGGGTGTCAATTTTAAAAACACAAAACAAGACTATTTTATTTTATTTATTTAGATATGAGTGTACACAAAACCGACAAATAAAACAATGAAAATGAGACTAAGAGGATATTATGTGCTTTAGACTTTTGTTTATTTATATAATCCCCTTTTTATCACCCTCAAAGTATACAACAATAATAATTCTCAACGCCAAAATAATTATTTTAATTAATTAAATCGAAGTAAAAATTAAAATTTTAAATTTGACTATTTTGTTATTTAGAACTCTTAACTCTGTCTATGTATAATTTTTCTTTTTAATTAAACTCTAACCGAGAAATTTAATATTAAGCCCCAAAATTAATCCAAATATAAATTTATATCATTAAATAACTTTCTTTTCTTTTTTTTTTCTTTTTTTTTCACCTTTTTTTTTAAACCCTTACCAATGTAGAAACTTAATATTAGGCCAAAAAATTTTATATCCTTAAATGATTCTCTTTCTCTCTCATCCTCATTCATGTTTCTTAGTAAACCCTAACCAATAAAGAAACTTAAAATTCGGGCCAAATATTTATATTCTTAAATAATATATATTTTTTCTCTCTCATATTTTTACACCTGCACTAAATTTTTTTTTGGTAAATTACTCCCGCATTAAATATTAAATATGTATTTAATCGGTGAAACTTTCCATATTATTAAGTCACCTCGCTATCTTTTTTCTCCTTACAACATATGAATTTGAAAATTTTGAGTTTATATTGCTTATGACAATTTGTTAGTTGTTGTTAATTCAGTTAATAAAAATTTACAATTGTAAGAAATGCATATTGATGTTGCCATCAATTAAAAGGACTTATTTCTTTTTTCACAAAAAATATAAAGAAAATGAATTTACATCAGCTAAAAAAAATTGTCAATGAAATGAAAACAGAACATGTTTTTCATCAAAAAGTATAATTTATAGAAAAAAACTTAATTTGATAACAATATAGATGATAAGTCAACTCAATTTGCCGAAGAATCTTTTAGGGTCAATTATATATATATATATATATAGGTGTGTGTGTGAGATCAAGCTAAATTTTCAATTCATAATATGTTTGAACAATTTAAAATATATGAAAATATTTTTAATCTTTTGTTAGCGCACTTGCATGCCCAGTGGGCTTTATGCTTTAAGTAAAAAATATTCCTTTATTGATTTTATGGCTGTAGGATATGATGTGTACTAATTGTGCTGCTTGATCATTATTAATATATAGGGTAAAGTGCAAAAAAATTTTGTTGATACAAAAATTGTGCATGAAACACCTCTGTTATCTAGTATTAAATTGCCCCACCATCATATGTCAATTAAAAATTACCATTAAGTGTCATTAATGATACAAAAATTAGATAAAAATACAAAAATACCCTTTTCAATCTTCTGCAATAACACTCATGCATGGGATAAATGATGAGGTGGACCCCACTATATTACAACACTCCTCCTTAGGGTCCACTGTACTATACTAAGAATATGCCTCATTAAAACCTTGCTTAGAAAAACCCAGTGGGATAAAAAACCAGCGAAAGAAAAAGAGTACAATATCCTTGTGTCATTGAAAATGGTATTGCATAGGTTAAAACTTCTTCATTAAAACCTTGTGAGGAAAACCCAGTGGAAAAAACCATAGCGAAGGAAAAAGAGTACAGTATGCCAATACATTTTCAATTCAATTGCTCATCCTCATTCAGCATTAAATACTATTGAGTCGACGCATTCCAATATTATCCACTAACTTCTTGAATGTTGTAGTTGGAAGCGTTGTAATGAATAAATCTGCTAGATTATCATTCAAGTATATCTTCTGAACATCAATATCACGGCTCTTCTGGAGCTCGTGTGTGGAAAAGAATTTTGACGAAATGTGCTTGGTTCTGTCACTTTTTATGTACCCTCTTCTTATCTGTAATACCTATCGATTCTAGAGCCACGAGTGATCAAGTCCGAGTACAGATCAGAGGGATACCAAACAATTAAGTATATAAACAAGCATTTGATTGTAAAAGAAATAACTAAGAATAAATAAAATAGCAGAAAAGAAAACTAAATAATAAATTCTTAAATTAATAAATAATTAATCCTGCAAATGAAATATCCAAAACCTTTAGTATCATTACAACTCGAGAATCCATCTAGTAGACCTCTGATGATATCCAAACTGAAATAACTGAAAAGAAATATAATCCAAAACTAAAACATAAATGGAATCCTACGTAGAATCGGAAGAGTGACATGGACTGTCTTTGCTCAGCACAAACAAACTCTATATCTGAAACTAACGGACA